CAACTGTCGGTAGAATCCCGTAACTCGTTGCCATTAGTACAGAAGGTTTTCGGTAATGAACTCGAACTGTCGTAAGAACATATGCTTAAAACGCGGACGACTTATTCGCGATTAAAGAATAATACGCAGAAATTACAAGGCTATAGCGTAATACTTTCCAACTTGATAAGCTGATTCTAATTAGGGTTGAAATCCAATATTATGTGGTCAATTTACTTTTTTAACTCTTCAGCAGTAATTTATTTACTCATATGTTATTAGAGTTTTTATCTGATGATACAGCTGGTATTATTATATAATAGTATGTGATAAGCATTAGAGTTATTATCTTAATAGTGTATAATGTAATTGACTTCAATTCTTGAGACGTTTTCTGAGTTTATCAACAATTTTGATCTTGAAATATTTTGTCCTTTCTGTTCCGCAGTTTGTTCGTTTGATTCTTTTTCCGCAATAATATTCTTCGAACTTCCACCTGTTTACAGATTACGGTGGTGATGTGGATTGTTACGACGGATGTGCACCGTGCGGTAAATAAGCAATTTCTCGGGCAAGGTATTATCTAATATTCCTCATTTTATATGGTTAAAACTTTTTATCTTCTATATTATTGTTAACTATAATGAGCTCAAATTTCTTTATGAAATGTTTCATGGTAAGAACTAAGAAGTTATTAGGAATTAGGCTAACAAAAAACGCTCAATACAAATTTATACAATAGGCTTCAATAGCTACCTTCACTTATTACCCTGTTTGACGCCTGACGGTACATAATATTACTCATTTTATATGGTTAAAATTTTTTATCTTCTGTATTATTGTTAACTATAAATTATAATGAGCTCAAATTTCATTATGAAATGTTTCATGGTAAGAAGTTATTAGGCTAACAAAAACCGCTCAATAGCTACCCCTACCTACCAGCACGGCAGCACTTATTACCCTGTTTGACTGTAGACAATTTTCCCACAGACTACTTACTTTCTTATGGTAAACTGGAAAAACACATCCTGGCAGAGCGGCCTAAAATTCCTGACCTCAGTGTCTGCGCTGCAGCGCTGGAACAGTGGAACTGAAGCTAGGCAGCTAGCTATATGCCAAAATAGAATGCACACCATTGGGCAATTCTGCCTGGCAGTGGAAAATGTGTTGAATTGATTTAAGTTTATAAAACTATGACTACGAGTCTACGACTGTCTGGCCAGGCTTTAATTCTAAAATTTGTGGTTCACATAAAAAAAGCGTTCTGCCCCGATTGGAAATTTAAGGTAATGATCAGGAGTACTGCTTTTCAAAATTCTCACGGAATTACACCGAACCGCTCTATAATGAGCCCAAATTCGTTTATGAAATGTTTCATGGTAAGAAGTTATTAACAAAAAACGCTCAAACTGCTCAATACCTAGCTAGCTACCATTATACCTAGTTACCTACCAATAATACCATCACTTATTAGGTACCTTACCCTGTTCCTGTTTGACGGTAGTCACGGTACTACTACACAATATGACCACAGTCACAGTCTCACAGACTACTTAATTTCTTATGGTTATGGCAAACTGGAAAAAAATACCCTGGCAGAGCAGCCTAAAATTCCTGACTTCAGTGTCTCTGTCTCACTGTGTCTGCACTGACTGAAGTCTGAACACTGATTACTGAAGCTTATGCCAAAATGGAATGCACGCCATTGGGTAATCCTGGCAAATGTGTTAAATAGATTGAAGATTATCAAACTAAGACTGACTTGCCTATGCCTAACCTATTAGGCTAGGGTAAACACGGTATATTCCGACACTTTAAGGACGCATCGAGAAATGAAAAACTATAAAAAAAACCGTATGCGTTACGTAAGTTCTGTTGCCTTTACATGACTCTCAAAACACTTCACTACGCGTCAGCACTCAGCAACGATGAAACATCACAAAATGTTGCCATATTTATTAAAAAGCCTTTAGAATGGAAACCTACCAAATCCCTATATTCCGTTGTATGACGTCACCATTTCAACCATCAATGAAGGCATGGAACTAAAACAAAGCTTAATATAAAGGAAAAACTAGAGAAGTGACGGAATTACCTACGATGTCGGAATATACCGCGTTTACCCTATGCAGAATTGCAGCAAACAAGCGAGTAGCCTGAGTAGGTACTTCAATTCTAGAGCCAGGGTGCAGAGGGTGGATGCAGCGTCGCTAATATATCATTATATGGGTTTTTAAGCCCTAAGCAATAACGTTAAGCATCGCCGGGTAATTTTAAGATGCGTCGCCAATTAATTTTTAATGAAAAGCCATTTATGCTGAGTAGGTAATGAAAAACTATTTACAAGCCACGAACTTATTTACAAGGTTGCATGCACATGTTACCCCAAATAACTAATTTTACCCTAAAAAAACAGTCTGATTGTACAGCTAGTGTCAACTGAACATGTGAATGATGTGATAATGCAGTCTGACTGCTCTAATGTGACCGCAACTATGTAATCGTAAACTATATGTTTACATTTTTTTGGCGGGAACTCATCGCAACTGATTTCTGGACAAGCTTCACTCCAACCTGATCCATCCATTGGCATCCAACATACTGGAAACCTTACTTTTTTTTTAAATAGTTGGCCAAAGACTGACAAATATGTTAAATGCAAGAATTTCAATCTAAATGTGTAGGCAAGATCTTCTGAAGGCATAAATTTTGCTACTGAAGCGTTGCCAAAGATCTTGCAATATTCATCCACTCTCTGCACTGTGGTTCTAGAATCTAGAGTAGGAGATTACCTCCTACTAGGAGGTATCAGGTATTTCTAGCCTGAATATGCATTGCAACTATTTGCAAGCAAATTGCATATGCATACTCTAGACTAAAAATCTATTAGTATTAAGTTTTTTCTTAGTAAGACATATGGAAAAAAGTTTTACTAAAGTTTTTATGTAAAATGAATGTTTTTCCTACCATCTTAACATATACCTACCTTAGTGACTTAGTCCTTAAAGTGGAAAGCCTGATCTGTGGAACTGTGGACTGAGTGTGGAGTGTGGAACTATGCCTCACTAAGAAAGATGTAGCTATGTAAGTAGCTCTTTTTGCTGAACAAATTTTTTGCTTACTTTTAGTTTGTTATTTTTCCTATCCATTTTTACATCAGACTTTAAAATACTTTTTTAACATTTGAAAGCCCTGTTTGCTCAATTTGCTCCTTGAATAATATTTTCACTTTCAAACATTCTGAATTTTTTGTCTACCTGTAAAGCTTAGTCTGTCATAATTTTTACAGCTTCAAATTGACAATTTTCTTAATTGTTTTTCAACTTCATGAGTCATGACACATGTCTAGGAAAAGACTAGGCCAACAATAATTAATTCATTATCTGTCAGCTGTGTATATGTAAGCAGTACGGTATTGGTTAGCTGTAACTGTTTAAGTATTGGCCTTACTGTCTCTTCTCCAAGCCTTCCAAGTTTTACCAAATTTCACATTTGATCTCAAAAAATAATTTGAAAATTAAAGAGCTTAACTTCTTTAAAAATTCATTGGTTCTACTGCATCTATACCATAAAAATGATAAAAATGGGGTAACTTTGACCACTATTTTTCTTCAAAATGATGCAATTTTTTACTAGATAAGTTAAACTTAAATTGAAACGTGCAAAATACAGGTCTATACTCTAGCTTCACTCACCATAAATTGCTGGCTCCTGCCTCTCATAGTTTTGATGTAATGTCAAAAAAAGTGATGGTCTTTGTTACCCCAGCTCCTGGGGTTTCATTGACTGGGTGGTAAAATCAATTTTATTTTTGGTAAAATAACTCCAGGTTTTGGTGCATAGTAGAACTCTTCTAGTTACATGTACAAATGACAAATTTTAGGAAAGTGTCATAGCGAAATGTGACCACCTAATGGCAGCCGTGACAGGGTAACATTGACCGGCTTGGAAATGAAGTTAAAATTGAAAGACAATCTTTCAATTTTCAAAAAGACTGTACAATTTTCAAAAAGACTGTACAATCTGAAACATAAAAAAAAATCAATAATAGGTGTATCAAACATAAAATATGTTATATAGCTACCTATGGTAATTTTAACTTAATTTCCAAGCCAGTCAATGTTACCCCGTCACGGCTGCCATTAGGTGGTCAAAGTTTCCCCATTGGGAGGCAGTGCCCCCCATTTGCAAACTATGACACTTTCCTAAAATTTGTCATTTGCATATGTAACTTGAAGAATTCTACTACAATGCATCAAAACCTGGAGTTATTTTACCAAAAAATAAAAAAATTGAATGGGGTACTCTGACAAGCTTCAAATAATAGCTCTTTTTTGTGGGTCACATTTTTAATTTTTTAACTTATTAGATATGCAAACTTTTCAAATCTTTTCTATTGTGTAAAGTAGTCTCAGTATTAGGCCTTTAATGCCCATTGACAAAATTTGTCTATGTCAAATAGTTTTTGAGTTTTGGGGATTTTTGTTAAAAAAACGAAAAGTGGTCAAAGTTACCCTGGGAGTCAAAGTAACCCCATTTTACAGTGTGTATATGCCTTAAACTTGGTTCCTTTAGAACTGTTTTCAGAATTTTATTTTCATTGTACATTTTTTAACAAAAGCTATGTCATTTCCAGTATGTATTATGTCCAATGCAAATATAGACATTTCTCAGTTGACTACAAATTTTGATGTTTTTGATTTTAACATTTATTGTTTATGTGTGCAGGTCTCACAAATGTGATGGTCCATCAGTTAGCGACTCAACAGAAGCACTAAGCTGAACTTCCAACTACGGCACCATTTTACAGCCTTCTAGAATTTTCATCTTTGTTGCTGACATAGGTTTTTTTTCTTTTGATTCTACTTTTGTTTTTCTGGTGCTGCAATGTTTTTCCTTTTTTAGAAATTTCCATAACAGCAGTCTTGATTTTATTGAAAGTTCTAAGTAAAATTAGAAACAAAATTTAATTTTAGTTTTTGGATACAAGTTACATAGAAAATAAAAATTAGAAGTTAATTAAAAAATTATAGAAATTTTCTGGCATCATTTTTGTTCTTTTCCATTGAAAGGTGTGCCCTCTTGTGCACCCTTATTTTGCATTAGTTACTTTTTTGCATATTGGCCAAAAGAAAAAATGCTTCCAATAACAATAGACATTGAAGACACAAGACCTTTGTTACACAGCAAGAGTGTGGGCAAGGTGCGCCTCAAAGACACGATACAAGGATGGGTACGACTAATCTTGTCAGATAAAGATTCAAGAAATCTTTTCTTCTTTTTGCTGCTGAACTTCTCATTTGCATTTGTAGAGCTAAGTTATGGCATGTGGACCAATAGCTTGGGTTTGATTTCTGATGCATTCCATATGTTCTTTGATTGCTCGGGCCTGCTTGCTGGGCTTGCTGCTTCTATTATAACCAAGTGGAGCCCAAATGAACGATTTACATATGGCTATGTTAGAGCTGAGATTCTGGGAGGTTTTGTTAATGGCTTGCTTCTGATGTTTGTGAGCTTCTTCATTTTTGCCGAGGCTGTTGAAAGAGCTATGGAACCTCCTGAGGTAAAGCACGAGCGATTGTTTGTGGTCTCGGTGCTTGGGTTTCTGGTAAACATAGTGGGAATTTTTGTATTCCAACATGGTGGTGCTGGACATGGACACAGCCATGGCGGAGGACATGGACATAGCCATGGTGGTGGGCATGGGCATAGTCATGGTGGAGGACATGGCCATAGCCATGGTGGAGCATCTCATGACAATCATGATGAAGATCATGATGGCCACTCACATAATGGTGTTGGGCATGGGCATAGCCACGGTGGACATGGTCATAGCCATGGTGGCTCACAGATCATGCAAGGAGTGTTCCTCCACATTCTGGCGGACACCCTAGGATCCGTGGGTGTAATTATCTCTTCTATTTTGATGTATTATTTCAACTGGATGATAGCAGATCCCATCTGCTCCATGTTCATAGCCGTACTCATTTTCCTTAGCGTACTTGCTCTCCTGCGCAACTCTGTGGAAATTCTCCTACAGAGAACACCCAGGGAGCTCGATAATGTTCTACCGGGCTGCTACCAGAGAGTTCGCATGCTGCCTGGTGTGTTCAGTGTTCAAGAACCGCATTTCTGGACCCTCTGTACAAATCATTCTGTTGGGAACATTAAACTGGAAGTTTCCTCAGCTTCGGATGCCAGATACATTGTCCAACAAACCACTCACATTTTCAAGAGCGTTGGAGTGAAGCAACTTTATGTGCAATTAGATTTCACCACCATGTAGGCGATTTTAAAACGTAGGAAATCATAATAAAAAATCGAGAGTTTCCTTGTGCTCCAAAAAGTTAAATTTTTATCATTGGTTCAATTCTTCCATACATGGGAATTCCCAGCATTCTGCTGGGGTTTCTGTTCCAAAGTTGTAACATTACTTGTAAGTTGTTTGTTATTTAACTTGCTGTAATTTTTTTCAATGTTTTTTCTTCATTGTGCAAGACTTCCTGTAGTGAGGGTTTCACTTAATTCTATGTGATGAATGAAATGTGAAGTATATTTTGTACGTGTGTGTTAAAATGTATGTCTTTTGCATAAAAAGTGATGACGTTGCTGGGAAATGGTTCTATCTACTTTACCTATATCTAGGATGATATTCATAGGAATTGTTCTCTAGGATGATATTCAAAGGAATTGTTCTTTTTTTCACTATAGACAAATCAGGACATTGACTTATTTCTTTGTTATCTGTGATGTGTTTGATTTCTGTTACTAATTTTATATAGCGATTTTTTGTATCTTATTAATTATTGTCGGCTACTGGTTTTCTTGTATTTTGAAATTTGAGATTATAATCATTCATCTTAAATTATCAAAACTGTGAAGGTTTTCCTAAGATGTGTTTTTTTCCTAAAAAACAGTCAAATGATAAGCAAACTTAGTTGTGGTAGAAACCTTGCAGAAATGTAAAAATTCTTGTATTTTCCTGTGCTACGATTTTATTGAAAAATAATGAACTGATATCTCGCATATTAATTTTTCATTTTGATGATAAATGATTTATTTATCTTTGAGCAAGGAATAGAATCCATCAGCTCCTAATACTACCTATACCAGTACCTATCGTTCAGGAAAACATTGATGACAAAGTAGTAATGCTTAGAGCATGAGCTATTGCTTGATGACGTTCTAAATTGCTAGGACTATCCCCTTAAAGCTGCTTCATTTTTGCACGTCCTAGTTTGTTTGCCTAGTGCCTTCGAAATTTAAATGGCAATCTGTTCAATGATTTAGTTATAAGAATAGTACTGACCACGCTTGATGGTTTGCTCATGAGTCATTATGTTGCCCCTAAAAACGTGCCTAAATTAATTATTTATGTCAGCAAAAATAACTAATCAAAGTCGTTTGTTAAATGCTTTTTCTGTGTTACAAACACTGTGTTACATTTCTTGTCAAGAAAACTTTTCTCTGAAATCCATATATTCATTGACTAACTTTTTTTGACTAAAATTACTCGTCCACCAGTAAGTTGTGAAACATTATTTGCGGAATTTATTTGTTACACATTTGTGAGGACGAATATTATGTTTTTTTGTAATGTTTCCAGGATTAAAATTTTTGTTCATTTCTCTTAAGATTCTTTAATCCTTTGTACCTTCTAGCACTGACATCCCTCAAGTGATTGGGCCGGTTTATATGAAAATTATTCAATACTTATATGTACCTTTTGCCCTTTCTGCTCAAGCCTATTTAATAACGTGCCGTCATTGTAGGAATGTGCGTGAATAAATTGTCCATCATGTTATTTTGGATTGGGAAAAAACAACAATAATTTACGCGGTTGACTGCCGTGTGTGCCCGTAGCTTAAACACGGCTCGTGCGAAATGCCCGTATTGCTTGCTGGTTCATTCGGCCCTATGCTTGGTTATCTGATGATCCAGCTGTGAAATTTTAACGACTTGCTTCACCGAAACATTGAAATTCAGTCAAGATAAGAATACCTATATCTTTGTTGAATATTACTTCTTGAGTCTAATGTCCTTTGATTGTCACGTTCTTAGTAAATTTATCAAGTTGTGACTTATTGTGACGTATTATATTTTTTTAAATGTAACCCAATTGCTTTGCTCTGACAAGGTAATTTGACTTTGCCTGAAAATTCTTGGTTTAGGCTTCATAACTTAAGTTCGGCACGAGTGCATTTTCCTTTACTATCCATGGAAAATTTTTTTTGAAACTCCCTTTGGTGTATAACTTAACACTGTTGGTTAGGCGAAATCTGCGAAAAAATTGACTTGATTTTAAGGCCGCCTTATGGATTTTTGTCAACGTCGAGTTTTTCCTAATTTTCTTTTGCCTTAAAAGTACTCGATTGTTTAATTACTGATAAGTCTTGAGTGTCTTTCCGTAGATAGAAATGATATTGTTTGATGGTTTAAGAAAGGACCTCGAGCTCAATTTGCGCAACCGATGCCACAATGATTTGTCATCTTTGTGCTTGCATCGTAGTGTTTAACTCAAATATCACTAAAATATTATATTTAAATGCTTCGCAATGGGATTAAATGTTCCATAGCATCTTCTAATTTATGGTCAGCATCCTGTTCATTGGTTAGGAAGTTTTTTCGAGTAGTTCTTTATGTAAGAAAGATTTCTAAGTTCTTTATGAAAATAGGAAGAAAGATTTCACTGAGATATTTTACACAGCGCTTGTGATGGCTTCACCAATTTTTTTGTTTCATGCCTTTGTATTATTTATGACCTAAATTAGAAGCACAGTTATGGATCAATACCCACAATAGGAGATGTAAAATTATAAAAAAGCAAGTTATTCAATGTATTGAGTGTAACTCGTATCTACTGTTGATGATGTGTCCATTTCTGCTGGAAAAAAGTGTTCCTGGATGTTCATTGATTAATTTTTACCATATATTCATGAGAGATCTGCTCCAAGTATTTTCCGCTATGCTTTTAGATGCTAGTGATTCGGATTTTTTTTGTTATAGGTACGTATTTACAAAAAGTATTACATGTATTATCATCTAAAATGCGAATTGTACGAGCTCAATGCTGGCAAAAATTGCAACTTTCATAAGTTTTTGCTGAAATAATCTTGCTGGTTGATGATCGCTAGTTTGCGATTTTGGTACGATAATCGTGACAAAGGCTATTGAATACCGTATGAAGCTCTTTTATTTTCTAATACTATACCTAGCAGAAAATAAAATAATGCGGTCATATAGTACCATACTATCAATTTAATTTTCTAGTACCATTGTCGGTAATTTCTTTTTAGCTTGTTTCTCGGTTATATCTTCACTTGTGCTCACTGTCCAAATTTTGCTCAAATTATGTCTGACTGATTTTGTCTTCATTCTCATCGGCAATTAAGATATCAGTGCAAAAGTGTGTACTGAACTTGAAGGTTCGATCTTACAAACACAACAAATAACATCAATTATCAATTTATCACCTTTTGGAACTTTTTTAAGAGTCTGCTAATGAGAAATTTTATTTCATTTCAAGCATAGACGGTAGAAATGAAAGCCACGACCGATACTTATCACTTTATACAGAATTTTCTCAAGTTTCTTCTCAGTTTGACTAGGTATACATTTTGTTTATTAGTGTCGCAAATGAAGATAATGATTAAAGGTATTAATCATATCTCACGTTTTAGTTGTAATTTATTTTCATTTAAGAAAATAAGACCATATCTATGTCGGAAAATTCCACAACTCTCATCTTGGCGTGTGCTACGGACCACAATGTTGTTAGGACCACAATGTTGTTCGGACCACAATATTGTTCGGACCACAATGTTGTTCGGAAATGTTTCATGCACTGTGTGGAGGCGGACATGGCTTGAGTTTGTGTGTGCACAGCATTTGTGTTCAATGTAATTATTTATTTTCCCTATTTAACTTTCAACTTTCTTATGAGAACATAATTAACATCAAGTATATAAATCAACTGCCATGCACTACTAGTAGGTTGCATTGAGTGATGGAACTTTCTTGTCTGCCACAAATTTACGTTGATCTCTCGACACTCCTTCCATTCATGCCTCTCATTCCTTAGTTACTTATCGACTATTCTCTCCCGTCGTAAATAATCTTCATGTACTATTAACTGCGTGTTGCCGGAGATTTATAACTTTGATTATTCAAATTTATATTGGTTATCGGCGTTTATTAGGTGGAGTTTTTCTTCAAAACGTTTTCTCGGTTTCAGCTTGGTATAAGGAAAAATATTGAAGTAAACTGGAGGTTCAGGCATTTAAAGACTAGAAAATAATAATTCTAACAACGTTGTCTTCTTGCAACAGTCCAAATTTAAATCATCAGGACTCTAATTCATCAATTATGTGCACCCTTTAAGATGAGTTACGAAATTAGCTTGACGGTCTACTTTGCGACATTGAACAGTTTCACTCGTACAGTTCCCAAACCTCTTTTTTGGAATAATTATATATTTTTATTGTATATGAGAAATACATGTTATTGTTTACTACATTGACGATATTGTGCGCGTCAGCAATTTTGTTTGCCGGTCTTCAAAATCTGTTGAATGAATTCAAACAGTATTACGGGGTTGAGAGAATTTGACTAGCATAAAGTTTCCATATGTGGGTTCTTGACTGACTGGTAATGTTACTTATATGATTTATTCATTTATATTCTTAAGTTTACTTCCAATATGATTCAGAATTTTTTCCATCGTGGGATTTACGAAATTTACACATCTACGAAAATTTTTGATCAACGATGTCTGACATGTGATTATCATTGATTTTGTTATGTGGCCGTTATAAAAACAAAAGCATCTGCTAGAAAATAATATTTATACGATACTGTTTGTGAAAATCACTCAGCGTTGTTACTAGTAGTTCATGAATTTTATTTTAACCCTTTAAAGTAAACAAAAAATTTATTTTAAAGGACCGAGGTAAATTTTGAGAGACCGGTTGATAGGACCAGCTGTCAAAATTCCTCGTGAGTAATTCGTGTTCAGTGTTTTATGAGAACGAATTTAAATGCCCGACCAGCCTAATATAATGAGGTCGATAGTTCCTATCACGTGCTATCTGCCAAGAAGAGACGATGTCTTCATTCTTCCTCTTGTGAAATCTGTAACCTCACCTAATTTAAAAGTTCTGTCCTCAGCTCGCCTATCTTTCCCTTGGGTGAAATGTTAAAAAGCACCAAGTATGGGTGCTTTTTATGTATGGGTGCTCGCCTATCTTGGTGCTTAAGTGAAATGTATAATGCTGGGCGTTATTCGTATATATTTTATAACTGTATCCAATTCAGCCTATATGTTGGTATCATTGAAACGCTCTGATGTGAATGGTTATTTTTTATTCGGTGCATTGTAGTTCTAGTGAATCATGTATAATAAATTCAAAATTTTATTTGAAAAAGTGTTTATTATCTATAGTTGAAAATTGGATACGGTCAATATTGCCCGTGCGTTTGAAAGGCTGTACTTACGTATATATATCCTTGAGTCTTTTTTACACTCGTTGTTGCAGAAATTTATAGAATCGCGAGCTCGGTTGGATTTACGGTATCGTTTGTATGAGT